GGGCAGCGCGGGGTAGCCCAGGGGAGGGGTGTGGATGTGCGGGTAGAAGCCGGGGGGCAGAGCCCCGTGTGTCGGCTGCTGCACCGGGCCCGAAATCACCAGCTGGAGAAGGCTGTGGGGAGAAATTCACACAGGAGAGACGCGATTAGAGCGGCTTTTGGTGTGGTTCTAAGGATAATTCACATCCAACTCACAGCGCTGCTGTGAGAAGTGCATATTGTATGGCTCTGTGCAAATATTTAAATATAAATATATTTAAATATATATTTATATATAAATATATAAATATAATATATTTTATTATATATATTTAAATATATTTATATTTAAATATCTGCACAGAGCCATAAATAATAATAAAATATATTTATATATTTATATATAAAAATATATATAAATATATTTAAATATATATAAATATATATAAATATATATGATATAATTATATATTAATATATATAATTAATATATTTATATTAATATATTATATATATTATATAATAATATATATTATTATATATAATATATTATATATTATATATAATGTATATATTATATATATTATATAATAGATATTAATATATATTTATATATATATTTACCAGATAAACCTGATATAAAATACCATGTGTATTTTGATGTATTGATTAGTAGTGCTGTATTAACATCTTAATAATATGATAAATGTAGTCTTGTAATTAAAAGGTAACTTTTGTAGTTAAAATAAGAACTATGTTAGTGGGATTTTTTTTAAGAAAGGAATGAGGCTCTTGCACCAGATAGCAGCCTCAGGACACCTGAATCCTTAAGAGAAAAAGAATTTATTGCCCCATTATCAGAAGAAACAAACTTCTTCCTGCTTCAGAGGTGCTGTCAGGATTCAGAGGAAGAAGTTGACACAGAACAGAATCCTGTATTTGAATGGAATTTATGCACCATGTATGAGGAGTATGAATATGCAACAGGTTATTGTTTCTAAGGGTTAATCCTCTGTTAACGTGGGTCCTTTTTTGGGCTCCTGCTGCCCTGGATGTCCATAACTCTTTGTCTCTATTGTCTCATATTGTCCTAATTCAAATTGTCCAAATTATTATTACTCTAATTGTACTATTATTTTTATAACCATCTTACTACTATTAAACTTTTAAAATTTTAAAAACAAGTGATTGGTGTTTTTCACAGCTGCTGAGCGCCAGGAAAACAGTGACACAATTCTGATCTTTACAGCTGCCAGGAGACTTTTTCCCCTTTCCCCACCCCTTTTTTAAGCCCCAGAGACAAAAGGTAAGAAGCAATTGCAAAGATAGAAGCAATTGCAAAGATAGAAGCAATTGCAAAGGCAAGAACTCAGAGTCAGGTAAAACCAGTGGGGAATTAAAGATGGGACAATTTAGGGCAGGTTCCTTGCTGGAATTTCATTTCCCTTTCCTGTGCCTTTGTTCTAACACACACTGAAGCCCCTTTCTGTCAGGAATCCAGGGAGGAAGCAGCCAGCACTGTGTCACCTTCATCCTAGGGCTAAAATGCACATAAATAAAGGCCAAATTCCACAGGGACAAATTTTTAGAGGAGATTTTGTCTCAGCAGCCTTGGAGTGTCTTGGAACATGCATCAAAGCCAACACAGCTGTAAAAAGTCTCTTACTTGTTATGTGGTAGCCTGGAGCACACAGTCCTCAAGTCGTCTGAAAGAGGACACAAGATTGACAATAAGGATAAAGCAGAAATTAGAGTGGTTTTCCTCTCTGCTGTCCTTTCTAGGAAGGTCAGATAACTGAATAATCATTAATTTTACTGATTAATTGCTGATTACTGAATCTGTCAGTAACCTAACATCATCATCAGTCAGCAAGGGATCCAGAATTCCCCTCTCAGGCCCAAAACCTTCATAGGAGAGAAAATATTTCTCCATTTCACCAACTCCCCTTCACTGTTATATGTGTTTGATATTTAAGAGAGATGAGCCTGAGGATGGATTTTGCAATACCAATACATCCACAAGAACTGAGACATAGGAAGCACAAGGTGTGACTCTGCCCAGTACCTGTTTTGTACTGGTTTTGGGTTTTTTAACCACTGTCACTCTAAAGATGGTTGGGGTTGGGGTTTTCTTGCTGGAATCTATCAACTAGAAATTGCACTTTTATCACCTCCAAACTTCTGCTAAAGCAGAATAGCTAGAACCAAGGAATCTAACCACATATCCCATTGATAAAATGTTTTCAGGAATAGCTTAAGAACAAACTCCTGCCTTTTTAGACATACACAGCCCCAAAACACTGAAATATCTGAACCCCAAACACTGAAATATCTGGTATTTCAGCAGCCTCTTACACTGAACTACCTTCCACAGAAAGAGCAAGTGCTCAGAATGTTCCAGCTAAGAACAAACACAGCTGAAATCAGCCCTCAGATCAAAACCCTCTGATTGCTGTTTGTTCTTGTAACACTCAGGGTTACTTTATAAAAGATGAGGAGGAAGAACATTTAAAATTGACCAGCAGCACTGGTTCAGCCAGGACAAAAGCATCAGATCCCTGTTTGGCAGAGGCAGCTGTGGTCTGCACTTAATGTCCCAGCTGTTAGAGAGCCTCAAGCCCTCTGGTATAACCTAAAATTGTCTGGTTTTAAAGAGAATATCACAAGAGAAGAGTCTGTGTGGCTGACCCTGCCCTGTGTGAACCACTTCCTTTTTATCTCTCTGCATGTCTTTTGGAAAGAAGTGGCTTTGGAGGCAGGAAAGCCAGACAAAGGCCAGGCTAGCAGCCCTTTTTTACTGAGTTTAGCTGAATTTGGACACCCTGTAATGGGGTCTCATTATAGGTGAGCTGAAGCCCCAGAAGTTTCAGCTGAAGATAAATTATTTGCTTTTCACATTCTTTGTCTAGCACACCCACCCAGGGGTTTATGTGCTCATGGCCTCTCCTCCAGCAGGCAGACTCAGAGAACTTAAACTGAAGAAAATCAAACAGTGCTTTTTAAATAGCTGCAGGCAATTCTGAGGGGGACAAAGTGTCAGACACCCAGATACAGGGTCTGACACTGCACAGTGCAGGGCTGTGGATCAGTCCCCACTCTGACCCACCCACAGCAGTGAACTCTCCTTTCTTACTCTCCATCCAGCTATTTTTCCTGAACTATTTTGTGCACTGTCATTTTCTAACAGACTACTGATTATGGTGTGTGAACACCTTGATCTTTATTCCCTCACCCCAAAACTGCCTCTTACACCTTCTGAAGGAGAAGAATCCCGTGCCAGGTCTCTGCCAGCCCCACAGACAACTCACCTCTGGTGCACAGGAGAGCTCCTGATGCCATGGCCACTTGCAAAGCCTGAGCCAGCCTGTCCAGAGCAAGTTCAATCTCTTTGGATGCATTGAGAGGATTGAGTTCATCAGACAGTCTGTTAATGTCCTCCACCAGAGGAACCACGTGGTCAAAGGGCACCAGCCCCAGGCGCCCATAAAGGTTTTTCTCTGTTAAATGCCCCTGGAGCATCATAAGCACCTGCAGGACACTCAGATGCAGCTTGGAATAGAGCTGGTGGCAATCTCTGTCTTCTCCTGAAGCTGAGTCCTTGGCAATTTTGCTGGGAGGGTGTCCATTGGAGAGAGAGGCTTTTTTCTTCCTGGTGTAGGCCAGGGGGGCCTTGACGCACCAGCGGATGAGGCCGGTGAGCGGGGTGAGCTCCAGGAAGCCCATGGGCAGGTTGGCTGCGATGGGAGTGTTCAGGAAGGTGATCAGGATCAAACGAGGGTCCTCAAAGATCCAGGAGACAATCAGCTCCAGCAGGTCTGAGGGAGGGATCAGCTCATCTGCAGATAGGAGGGTTAATGGTGGGTAAGCTGAGCCTTTGTTATTTTATTTATTAATTCAGGTTCTAATTAGTCTCTCACACACACCCATCCTCCACTGTCCCAATTACAATCTCTGAACCTCCCCAGTTCTGCTGTTTTTCCCAAGACACAACCATGTTCCTGTCACCTTCCCCACCTAGTCCAAAGACACCACAAGCACTAATATTTATCCCCTTTCCCAGCCAAGATTCTCTTGTCATTTTCTTCTCTGCCACCCATCACCTGCTCATTTTTTTCCCTAATTTAATTCTCCATTTATCCCTTGCCACAGGAAGCAAAATGGGCAAGGGAAATAGGAAAAGCTTGTTGGGTGAAGAGGAGGAAGTGCCAATAACTTAACTCATTTATTTTAATACTTACATACCTAAACAAATGTGTCTTGTGGAAAAACACAATGCAACAACACAATTACATGACATAGAAAGGATTATAGGATTATGTAAAGCTTCAGGTGAGAAGTGAAAGATGGTCATGAACTTGACTACAGACAAGAGAAACCCTGACACATCATCCTGTCACAGAGGGAATGCTGCACTGGAAGAGCAAGCTTCCTTTTCTTGTGTCACCAAAACTATCTCAAATAAACTAAGGAATTAAAACATTACTTCCTATGACTCAAGTTATTTCCTTTCTGACATGTCCTTCTGACATGATGATGGGATATCAAATATGCTCTGAGCTCTACCAAATACTTTATAAAAACAACATAAAGGCTAAGCCTGAACCTCTCCTTCACCCTCAGTAATGCCAAGCTGTTTATTTGGAGAGGAGTGTGCAAAGCATTTCCTTTATCAATAACAGCATTTGCTTTTCTGGATTGTAGGTGGTGTTGGTACTCAGTGTATGGCTGTTCTCTGGTCTACCATGAGCCTTCTGTGGCTGAGTAGAGCTAAACCAATCTCATTTTAGACACCTACAAGTGTCTGCGCAACAAGCTGAGGCAGGCTGTGCCACTGGCAGGTCATACACACAGTAAAGAGTGCACTGGAATTACGTTGTTGATTGTGTTTCTCACCATTGCTCCACAGAAATCCTGCTCCAGCCTGCCAACATTCAGAACTTGTTTAACCCCTTTTTGGAAAGGATCAGACTGACAGGCAGCCCTGAGTCTCTCTCAGGGCTGACTGAGCCCAGACAGATCAACTTTCACTCCCAGAGCTGCTCAGTCAGCAAGGTCCCAGGTCCTTTGCCCTCTCTGGGGGACAACGCCCTTTGTGTCAGGTGTTCCTGGCTGCTTCTCCAGCACAGACTCTCCCTTGTTTCCCAGAGGCTGTGGAATCCAAATCCCTTGCAGTGCCCAAGGCCAGGCTGGGCAGGGCTTGGAGCAACCTGGGACAGTGGAAGGGGCACTTGCCCATGGCAGGGGGTGGAACAAGCTGAGCTTTAATGTCCATTCCAACCCAAACCAGGCTGGAATTCTGAATCAGCCACAGAGGGGTTATTTTTATTCTCACCCCAGTGCCAGATGAGGCAACAGCCACACCCCTGAGCTTCCTCTGGCAATAATTACATGGTAACACCTCTTTAGGATTCCAGCAGTTACAATAGTAGCAATAGTTCACTCATGGTGCATGACACTGCAGCTCTCACTTGGAAAGAGGCACTTTTACCTGAGGAGAGGTCGTAGAGGGCTGTGACTGAGGTGATGAACTGGCAGCAGAAGCGAGGGCTGGCAGTGAAGATCTGCTTCAGGGTCTGGATGGAGCCTGGCACCAGGTTGCAGTAATCATCCACCAGGGCTCGGGCCAGCCTCACACAGAACACAGCTGGGGTTCTCTGCAGGGACAGCACACAGGGGACACACATCACACCTGTCCCAGGGTCCCCACCTGCCCCACTGGCACTGCCTTGCTGTGGGTGCTCTCCCTCAGCTCACCAAACACTCACAGGAATAAAATCACTGTATTGCAGTATCAAAATAGATTGTGATAGCTTGAGTTTATGTCGCAGACATCTTTTATGAAAAATCCTTTCCTCAGGATTTTTCCTCCTGAGAAGCTGGGAGGCCTCAGGAACAAAATATAAACATTGATTATCTGCTGCTGTGGAATGCAACAGGAGCATCTGTGATTGGCTCATGTTGCATGTTTCTAATTAATGGCCAATCACAGTCAGCTGGCTTAGACAGAGAGTCCAAGACAGAGCCTTTGTCACCATTCCTATTCTATTCTATTCTATTCTATTCTATTCTATTCTATTCTATTCTATTCTATTCTATTCTATTCTATTCTATTCTATTCTATTCTTAGCCAGCCTTCTGATGANTTCCTCTCTCCTTTCCTTTTTACCCTTTCCCCTTTCTTTTCCTTTCTCCTTTCCTTTTTCCAAGCATGACACTCTCAGGTTCAACTCAACAACTCCACTGCTGCTGTTTCAACCTCATAACATTTAAAATGGATTCTGGCACAGCTGCCTGCCCTGACAGCCACAGCAATAAGCTGAGAAGCAGAAATTAAAAACTTTGTTAAAAGCTGATGTTGGAAAACTGAGCAGCTCCTGTTCCTACCTCTCTGCAGGGAGGGAAGTGGGTGGGGGGACAGAGGGAAATCTGAAGCTCAAAAAGATTTTTTGCAAGACTTTTTGAAGTTTTTTTTTTGCAAAGTCTTTTTGAAGCCCCCAGACAGGTCAGACCCAGGGAGGGAGGAGTGATCCCACTCTGAGTTTTGGGTTTGGGCAGCATTTGGCTGTAGGAAGGTGCAGATCTGAGGCAGATTTTTCTGCTGTCACCCTGAGCAGGAATTGGCTCTGAGCAGGTCAGAGCAGGGAATCCCTGCCCTGGGAGCAGCAGCAGGGCAGAGCTGCAGCATTTCTGACTCAGCCCTGCCAGGAGGTGCCTGAGTTTGCAGCAGGAGCTCCTCAGGCATTCCCTGGCACCTGAGTCAGGCTCAGCCTCCCCTGGATCCCCTGGGAGTGCCTGGGCTGGGGCAGGAAATGACAGAATGGCTTTGGTGGCAGCACCAGCTCTCATCAGCTGCAGGCTGAGCCCAGGCTGACTCACAGAGCACTCTGGCCCAACCCCTGCACCCAGAACAGCCCCAAAATCCCTCCACCAGGAAAAAAACCCATCCCCAAACAAAGATCATCCTTACTGGGAAATAAATAACACCAGAAAAGACAGAAGCAGCAGACTTGGATAATAAAAATAAATGCAGATGCTCTGTTAAAAGCTAAAGAGCATTTTGTGAATCTCACAAAGTTTCATCACACCCAGCCCCAGTGTGGACAGCAGGAGTCAGGATGGGTGACACTGCTTGGGGAAAAGAAGTGAAAATTAAAAATGCCTCAGGTTTCAGAGGCACTCCCAGCACAGCCACCTCCCAACGAGTCAGACATTTGCTCTATCAAACAATCTGCTGAGAGAACAGCAGCAGCTTCAAAGAGAAAACAAAATTGTCTCAGCAGCACTAAAATGGTTCTTCCTTTGCCACCAGGTGTGGGAACACTAATTAGAGCAGTTTATATCATGTAAAAGAATTACTTTGCAGTAATTTTTTAGCAACAGAAAACTTTCTGCTTTAAAAGCCTGGTCCCTCCTGTCAGGGCTGCTGAGGGGGGTGAGGCTGCTCAGCTTTATCAGATTTATCTTATAAATGCTCAGCTTTATCTGGTAAATGAGTTCACATGTTAATTATTACACTCTGGGACACACCCAGCAGTGGGTTTGGGGTTTTCTTTTGGTTTGTTTTCTTTTTCACCTCACTTGGATAATCTGGAAGCACACCAAGCTCTAGTGCTCCCAAAATGACTTCTGAGGATACTAAGCTGGACTAGGGGGAGTCTGTGGCAGATTAAAAGAAATTAATTACAAGAATTAATTAGATTAAAATAATTTAAGATGAATCTACAGTGAAAAGAGAGTCCATAGTCCATTCAGCAGGTTCATAACAGCTCAATGGGAGAGGAGAGGAACAGAAATGCAAAAGTGGCTGAGGATCCTTTGGGACAGGGCACAGACCTTCAGGATGGTAAAATCTAAAATATTGGCAGGTGCAGAAAGCTCCCACAATGCCAAAAGCCAAGTGAAACTGTAGGCTGGTAGATAAAAAAAAAATGGAGCTTGAAGGAATGCAAAATCTGTGCTGAGCACTGCAAGGGGGAAAAGCATCCGTGCTCACAGTGAGAACATCAGCAAAGGAGGACACTGGGAATTATCAAAATAAACAGAGAGGGGAACAGGACCCATCTCAAAGAGTCTGGCCTGAGGTAGGTGCAGGTATTTGCTGCCTCTGTGGCTGTGAATTAAACAACAGAGGGGAAGGAAGCATGGCCAAGGGTCGGGAGCTCAGCAAGATCACCCAGAACGGGCGGGAGCTGCTGGAGCACCACAGAATCGGGATAAAGCAACGGGCACGGGGCAGGCCGAGCTCAGACTCGGTATCACCGGTACCACAATTAAACATTCACACAGCAGGATACAGAAATAAACATTCACACAGCGGGATACAGAAATAAATATTCACACAGAGGGATACAGAAATAAACATTCATACAGCGGGACACAGAAATACTCAGATGCCAGAGAACAAGAGTGGATTGTTCATGGCTCCTTTTAGCTCCTGCCTGGACACAGCAATGCCGGNAACATTTCTTCCCTGTGAGGGCACTGAGGCCCTGGCACAAGTTGCCCAGAGAAGCTGTGGCCTCTCCAACCTGGTCTAGAAGAGTTCAAGGCCAGGCTGGACAGGGCTTGGAGCAACCTGGGACAGTGGAAGGTTTTTCTTCAATTTGGGATGAGCTTTAAGGTCCTTTCCATCACAAACCATTCTGTAGTTCAACTGGTTCAGTCCCAGAGCAACTGGTTCAGCTGCCATGCCTGACATTTTTAATGTGGAAAATATTCTGTGTGTGAAATCCTCACGTCACTTAACAGCTGCCATCTGAAATAAAAATACACCTTGTCCTGCTATGTCCCATCCTGCCCTCCCAAAAACTCACCATGTGGGAGAAAAGGGACCCCCAGCAAACAGGAGATCTGCCTCCTCACCCCTTCCCTCCCAGCACAGCCTTCCTGCTCCTGCCCCTGTGTCAGCTGTGAGCTCTGCACATCCCACAAGGCAGCAGGAACAAAGGTGCACTTCCCAAAGCCCTCAGTGGGGAGTCTCAGAGGAGATCTCCAACCTCCTGCATTCACAGAAGACAGACACAGGTATTTTGTGCCCAAATTTCAAGACAGAGGTTTGTCTCTTCCACCTCCAAACCTGAACATCAGGAAGGGTTTATTTCCCAAGCTCCAGAGTCAGCTTCTTCAGGCAACGTGAGCAAGGTTTGCTCCCTGCTTTGGTCAAACCTTCCACTGAGCCCTTTCAATATGCAGGGTTTGGAGGGTTCACTGACAGTGAAAAAAACACCCAAACAATTTTTTTCTCCCATTGCAGCACATGAATGGATTGGCAAAGCTCTCCCTGATGCCAAAGCACAGGAATGGGCACAAGCACAGACATGGGGCAGCTGAAACTGCCAGGGAGGAGGAGCTGACTGTGACCAGCTGTGCCCCAGCTCACTGTGCCCACCCTGGAGCACGCCCTGAGCCCTTCCCCCAGGCAGCCCTGCCTGCTCAGGAGCTGTACCTGCAGCCAGAAGGCAGCACACTCCAGCACAGGCACCCTGCAGACAGCCACTGCCATGGAGACCAGCTTCCCCAGCAGGGCCATCCTGCTGTCGTCTGCTTTGTTCCCCTGGGGGCTGAAGAGAGATGAGAAGATGACCTGCCGGACTGAATCCTTGGTCTGCTCCTGGAAATAATTGCACATGATCTCAAGGAGCTGAAGTTCCTGAAGTGGGGTCAGCCTCTGAAAGAAAACAAAGGCAAAGCTGTAAAATACACTGAGCCTCTTGAAGGACCACAAATCAAGTGAAAAGCCAGGAACAGCAAAGGCTGAGAGCTTCCCTGTGGGCTGGGGGACTCAATCTTTATGCACAGCACACACATTCAAGCTTTCTGAACCACCAGTGCATTTTATGTGGTGACACTGAAGAGCTCCAGGTTTCATCTGAACACCAAAGCTGGTGCTTGCTGCACCTGCAAGTGCTGCCCACCAAGTGAGAGATGAGACTGACATTGCTGGGGGAGGAAATATTTCCTCCCTGAGAGCACTGAGAGCTGCAGGGCCACAGGGACCAACAGCCACCAGCACCTGGGCCTTCTCACTGCTCATCTCTGAGCCCCAGCTCCATCCCAAACCAAACACCCTGGCAGGGCCCAGCTGCAGCACTCGGGGGCTGTGGGCAGTGCCCAGGGTCCCCACCACACCCGGAATCCTGGGTACCCATCAGGGACTGGCCAGCAGCCCCCTCCCTGCCAAAATCCTCAGTCAGCAGCACCCCAGGGACCCTGAGCTGTCATCTTGGGGCTTTAGCTTCCAGCAGGAGAGCCCCAGGGACCGAGTCCTGCCCATCGCAGCCCTCAATCTCCAGTATCAGAGCCTCAGGGACCCAGTCCTGCCCATCTCAGCCCTCAGCAGCAGAGCCTCAGGGACCCATTGCTGTCCATCTCAGCCCTCAGTCTACAGTAACAGAGCCTCATAGACCCAGTCCTGTCCATCCCAGCTCTCAATATCCAGTAACAGAGCCCCAGGGACCCAGTCCTGCCCATCTGAGCCCTCAGTCTCCAGCAGCAGAGCCTCAGGGACCCAGTCCTGCCCATCTCAGCCCTCAATCTCCAGCAGCAGAACCTCATAGACCCAGTCCTGCCCATCTCAGCCCCCAGCCCGCGCCGGGGGGATCCTGTCCCGTCCTGAGGCCTCAGGCTCCAGCAGGGATCCTGTCCTGAGCTCCTGGCCTGCCCTCGTGTGTCCCCCGCGCCCCCCGGGCCGGTCCCGTTCCGCCCGGGGTGTCGGTGCCGCACCTTGGGCGGCGCTCCGCGCTCCTTGGGGACCTGGAAGAGGAACTCCTCGAGCAGATCCGTGGGGCCCTTGTCCACCAGCGGCAGCGGCGAGTTCTGCAGCTGGCTGCTGAAGTAGATGTCCAGGTGGTAGAGCACCTCCTTGGCGGCGCTCAGCGCGTCCCGCCGCAGCAGCGAGTGCCGGATGTCGCTCATGGCCCCGCTCCGCTCCCGCTCCCGGTCCCGCTCCGCTCCCGGCCCCGCTCGGCGCGGCCTCCCCTCGGCGGCGCGGACCGGCTGGCGCTACGGCGGCCGGGCCAGGACAAAAACGGTCACGCGCTGCGGCCGCCGCCGCCGGCAGCGCCCCCTGGCGGGCCCGCCCGCAGGGGTAACGGGGGCTAGGCCGTGAGGGAACCGGGCCCGGGATGGGCGGGGACACCGGGGCATGGGGGCAGCTTGTCCTGGGGGACTGAGACAGGTGTCCCAACCCTGGGAGGAGCCTGGACCTGAGGGGGTATTGCCCCTGGAGGGACACTCTCTTGGCCCTCTGGTGCTGGGGTTGAGCCAAGGGGTCTCAGTATGGAGGGCTGGAGCTCTGGGCGTGAGGGGCATGGAACTCTGGGTATGAGGGGATATCGGCCCTGGGAGCTGCTCCTTGGGCTGGCTCATGGGCTCCTGCCTTGGGAGAAGCTTGGCTCTTGGCTGTGGGCTTTGGGAAGTGCCCCTTTGTTCCTGCTGCCCTTGGGGGATGTGCAGGAGTGGGGCTTAGCCCCGGGGGAGGATTGGCCCTGAGGGTGGTCCAGCCCTGGGGCTGTTGGCATGAAAGGGGTCTGATCTTTGTGAGGTCTGGGCCCAGAAGTGGTGTTAAACCCTGGGACTCTGCTTTGAGGGGGTCTTAGCCTGGGTGGGACAGGATCTGGGGGGACCTTGGCTCAGGGGGTTCTTGGTCCTGGGTCTGGCCCCTGGGGGGTTCCTGACCTGGAGAGGATTGACCGTGGAGGGTTTGGCTGGGGAAACCTGGGTCCAGCCTGGGGAGGGTGTTGGGGGATCTATGTCCAGCCTTTATCCCACTGTGGGGAGCAGCCCTTCTCTGGAGGGTGCCTGGCTCCAGGAGAGAGGGGGCCCAGCCCCTTGAGGATCACTGCACACGTTCTGGGAACCATGGCAGCTGCCTTTGGAGGCAGGGAGATCAGCCAAGGCCGCTGGGACAGCACTGTGTGAGCTGGGGGAGCGGCTGGGGTGGAGAGCTGCCACCCCCCAGCACTGCAGGTGACCACCTGGGGAGGGTCTGGGGATGAGCACCATGGCAGAGATTTGTCATTCTTTTGGGACTTTTGGCTTCACACCCTAAGACCACACTGGGATGGCTCCTGCTGGCCCCAGCACACTCACGGCCTGTTGGAAATGTGGGGTGCTCGGTGGGAATTATTCCTGTTGGTGAAATAAACATTTTTTAAGAGAATTTGCATCTGGTGATGAGTGAGAGTTGTCCACACCATGTATTGGGAAGCTGCTGATCCCCACAAGAGATCTCTGACATTCATTCCACCTTGCAGAGCTCTTGTTGGCATTTTAATCCCTCTCGGCCTTACCTGTGGTGGGAGGCATTGGCAGAGGTTGAAAGAGCTCTTTTTTCACTGAGCAGCCCTTTGCTTCCGTGAAAAATGCCATATGGAGCCTGCGGCCTCACATGATCCTTGGCTGGGCACCCACCTGGCAAGGAGAGAGTGTCCCTCTCCATAAATGCAGGTGCAGATCCTCCCCCCTCCAGAGTCCTCGGACAACATCCAAGGTAGGTCCTGCTCTCCTCTCTTCCCACACCCCCAGGGGCTTCCCTTGGCAGTGTCACCTCCTCCAGCTCAATTCTACCACAATGCTCTTCTGGGCCAAACCTGGGTGCAGCTCAGGGGTGAATGTGCCCCTTGCAGGTGCCTCTGCCTGGGAGGTTCAGAGGCTGCTGTGCTCTCCAAAAATGGGGAGGATTTATGGGGCTTTGGGCAATTTTTGGCATGACCAAATCATGGCATCGCCAAATGGCTGGCTTATCAACTGAAGGGACTGTGGTGTTAGAGGGAAGAGTTTGGAGCAGGAGTTCAAGTGGGAAAAGTGAGGATTTAACTAGAGCAGCTGCCCCAGAAGGAAAAGTGAGCCTGAGGCCAGCAGATCCTTCCTCAGGCTCAGATTTGGTGTGCCAAACCTGGAGCATTTGCCCATCCTCTTAGCCCATTTATCAGGCTCTGGGTGAGTTCAGGCACTCCAGAGCCCAGACTTGGGCAGGGCTCAGGGCTCAGATCTGGTGAAACATTAGCCCAAGGCAGTCGAGTGCCAGGGGAAATCCTTCCCAAACGCCTTCCCTGTGGGTGGGAGCTGCAGCACTGCCTTTGCTGAGGGTCCTGAGGGAGCCAGCTGGGTGAGGATGGGCAGGGGCCCTGCTGGGTGAGGATGGCCAGGGGCACTGCTGGGTGAGGATGGGGGGCACGGGAGGGGGAGCTTACCCAGGTGAGGATGCTCCAGGCAGTGAGGAAGGTGGGGAGGGTGTCACGGAGGATCTCTGCCTTGCCCTGTCCCAGCACAGCTGCTGTAGGTTCTTTGGGGTCGCTGGCACTGATCCAGGGAAAGGTGGGAGAGGCACAAGCCAAGGGATTTTGGGCTCCCTGGCCACTGCTACCAATCCCAGGCCAGAAGAGGTGTCCAGGCTGAGATCTTCCTCATGGGGAACGAGGAAGTGACTGCTCTGTGTCACCATTAAAGGGCACTTACTTGCTGGCCAGGGAATTTTCCACTCCAGCCTTGTGAGTGACCTGGCCTCCTTCCAGGAGGGACAGGTAGGATGAGGCCCCATGCAACAGAGGTACAATCCCTACATCCTGGTGGTTCCCCAGAAAACACCTCCCAGTGAAACCACTATGGCCAGTGGAAATACCCTGGTTATCCTGTTGTCTGTCCCAAATCCCCATCTCAGCCAGGAGGGCTGAGCCCCTCCTGCCTCTCTGCACAGGATGGCAGCCTCGAGGCCGGTGCTGTCACTGCTGGTCGCAGCTCTCCTGCTGCACGTGGCCACCTCGCTGAAGATTGGTGCCTTCAACATCAGAGCCTTTGGGGACACCAAGATGGCCAACCAGACCGTCGCAAACATCATCGTCTCTGTGAGTGCGGGGAGGAGCAGGCCTGGACGTGCTCTGCTCTCTGGGGGGCAGCCAGCTTGGGCAGTGGGACACCTGCTTCATCCATCCATCCATCCATCCATCCATCCATCCATCCATCATCCATCCATTCATCCATCCATCCATCCATCCATCCATCCATCTTCCATCCATTCATCCATCCATCCATCCATCATCCATCTATCCATCCATCCATCCTTCCATGCATCCATCCATCCATCCATCCATCCATCCATCCATTCTTCATCTACCCACACATCTGCTCTTCCCCCATCACCATCTCCCACCTCAGGCCATCTCCACCCTTGCAGGTCCTCAGTCAAGGCTGGGGTTCCTCCCCTGGAGCAGCTGCTGGGTAGGTGGTGGTGGACACACAGGGCACACCAGCACCGGGGTCCTCTCCCTGGCCCTGAGGTCCCTGCTGCCCTCCCACTGCCAGCCTGGGAGCCTTTGCAGCCCAGAGAGGCAACCCCAGAGCAGCTCCTGGCCAGGGGAGAGCAGCTCTGAGCTTTTTCACCCAGATCCTGTCGGAGTACGACGTCGTGCTGGTGCAGGAGGTGCGGGATGCCGACCTGAGCGCTGTCAATGACCTCATGGAGCAGCTCAACAGGTGACCCAACGGCTTGGTGTGGGAGTGACTGCAAAGGGGACTCTGGGGTGGATTCCAGCCCTGCCAGGCACCTCTGGCTCCGCTGGAGAGAGCCTGGTGGATGCTGGGGAGCACCAGGAGCCTCCTCTCACCCTCTCCATTACTTGCTCCCAGTGCTGGGAAACACCCCTATGACTTTTTGATCAGCGTCCCCCTGGGTCGGGGCACCTACAAGGAGCAGTACCTCTTCATCTACAGGTAAGGGATGCTGCCAGGTGTCACCTGCCACCCTCCCCAGCAGCCCCCAAAGGGGATGGGTACTTTGGGGACCCGGGCTGTGGCAGGAGCAGCGCTGGGAGCTGCCCTGCTCTCCTCCCTCAGGTCAGACATGGTCTCCGTGCTGGGAAGCTACTACTATGATGATGGCTGTGAATCCTGTGGGACCGACACCTTCAGCAGGGAACCCTTCATTGTGAAGTTCTCCTCACCCACCACACGTGAGCAGAGCCCACCTTGGGGGATGCCCAGACCTGGCACAGGGTGCCCTCCACACAGGGCCGAGCCCAGAGCTGTGCCTGCTAAGCACAGGGGGTTGCAATTCCTCACCAGGGTCCCACCTGTGGGTGCCCAGGGGTCCCATGTCCCTGCCCAGCATGGCCAGCAACCCCTGCTGTTTCCCACCATGTGCCATCTCCAACCAATCACCTGTCATCTCCCACCATGAGCTCTCTCCAGCTGTGTGCCATCTCACATCTCCAGCTGCTTCCCACCATGTCCTACATCCCATTATGTGCTACCTCCCATCTTGTGCCACATCCCACCACCTGCTTCCTCTGGCTGGGTGCCATCTCCCATCATGAACCATCTCCTATCACCTGTCATCCCCTATCCCTTATATCTCCCATCACGTCACATTTCCCAATTTGTTCCACTGCCTACCCCATGTGCCATCACCTCCACCTCCTGAGAACCTCCTCAGGGCACACACACTATCCCATCTCCTGCCCAAAACCATATTGGCTTGCAAATGCTAATGGGAAACAAGCAGCAAACCCCAAACAATGCACCAAGGCATGCAGCTCCCCACTGGAATTTCCAGTCTCAGGGACAGGCAGAGCACCAAACTCAACACACCCTTTTCCTTCAACTACTTTTCCTGGCCAGTAGCTGGGGCTTGGCCTGGGGTGGTTTCCTGGGGTTCCCATTCCCTGCTCAGGAATGCACCAAGCCAGGGGCTGATGGCAGCTGTCCTGCAGAGGTGCAGCAGTTCGTGTTGGTGCCTCTGCATTCGGAGCCCAGCCATGCAAGACAGGAGATCGATGCGCTCTACGACGTCTACACCGATGTCATCAACAAGTGGGGGACCAATGTAAGCTTGGGGAGCTTGGGGAGCCTCCTCAGGGCAGCCAGGTGGGCAGGTGGGGTGAACATGTCCCACAGTGTGACAGTGTTCACAGGGGTTCTTGGATGAGGGAAGAGACGAGGATCTGACTCTGTGTTTCAGAAGGCTTGATTTATGATATATATTAAAACTATAC